GAGGAACCCCTGCGAGACAGAAACGCAAACTACACCATTGTGCTGCCCCAAAAAATGAGCATCACAATAGCAGCAGTACTTATGCTATTGAACATTCGCATATTACACTGTAAACCGTAATCTATTTTACCCTCCCATGATTATAAATTGACACTCAATTAGAAAAAGGTACACCACCCCAAAATAAGCAGTTAGCATTGCAGACTTGTCTCCACACTAATTTAATTACGATCTGCCAGACAGAGCTGTACATAGAGCATCAGAACATGATGTCCATTGAACACATACACTAGTGAGAACTTAAATGATTCCAAATTAAAACAGTGTGCTCTCCTTTACACTAAGTAAGAACACATGAGAAGTAGCAGGCCCAGAACTGATTTGTTGAGGGAGGTGAGGGGGCAGAGATGCTGGGCCAGCAGAAAGAGTACTTAGGCACTTGCAGAAGCGGAGTGGGCCACAGCGTGCAGAGGGAGGGAGTTTTGATAGCAAGTTCAGAGTCGCATTGCAAGTCAATAAAAAATCTTTTATGGAAAGGTGGGACACTACAATACTTAAGACTTTGCAAGTAAAAATACTGAAAATTCAAGTTCGTAACAGTCTTTCTAATTGCAGTAAAGAAATTTCAGGCCTCCGGGCTGGCTGGGCAAGGTTATCTACATATCAGGAATGAATATAAAAAGAAAAACAAAACTTTGGCACGCAAAACAGTCCCATACAAAGCCTTTCATCTATGGATTTAGCGGTTTTCCTGGAGTTTAGCTTTAAGTCAAACTCCATTTAAAGATGAAATAGGGATGCATTATTTATTCTTGGCCATCAGGACCCTTGCTGCACCTGGCCGGTGTTATGGTGCTCACTCATATGGAAGGAGGGAAGTTCCCCCATGATGAGCAATAGACATGAATGAGGAAGGAAAAGCCAGCCTCCGCTGAACCTCTTGTTCAGTATAAAGTAGAGCAGCAAAAGCCAATATAACAGTTCATTAAAATCTTGTGTACTAAACCAAATACAGACAAGATGTCTAAGCGACAATTGTAATGCATGCCAGTTGCTCCATTATATACAAAGCTTAAAAGTGCCCTTTTCAGACAAGTTTTACTTATAGCATTAGAATTCACATTGAGGAGCAAGTCTTCATATTTTTCTACACATGATTCATTTTCAACCATTATACAATGTCTACCCACAATCCAGCAGTCCCTTCATCTGCCTACTCCTGTCAGCCTCCTGTGAAAATATTCCTTCTAACAAGAATTCTTACAGTTTAACTTTTTTACAAGGAAATATATGAGTCAGTTTCAAGGTGACTCCATAGTTTGTCACTGGTTTCCCTTCTGTGTACTCATTTTCCATCTGCTTTCCAACTTTCCCTCCCGGCTCACTCACCCTCTGCCCAACTAAATATATAGGCCTGAAAAGGTCAAGCCAGGCTAAACTAGCAGAAAATTAAAGTTACCACCCCATTAGAAATAGGAACTGCAGCCATGGGACCATACAACATAAAAAGTAGGATGGATTTCCCCACCGAGGAGCCACAAGTGCAGTGTACTATGGAATTTGGAATGCTGTTCGCAGGTATAAGTAGATACTCCCGTAAACAAGAGCATGCACATGGATGTACAACCCAGGACACAGTCTGCATTCGGGGTTGTACGTCCACGCAGATGCATGTGCTTTTGATAGTACCAGTGTATACCCTCATTGATTTCAATGGCTGGCTGTATGCAGCAGCTGTGGGTCCCGGGCAAGACAAAACACCTTTTTTTGTTGTTGTTGTTGTTGTAGTACAGCCCCAAGCTCGCATGTGCTTGAGTACTTAAAGTGATATTAAAAAGGCAAAAAATGTTTTCCCTCCCCCCCATGTAAATGTTAGCACTTACCTTAAATGATGTCTCTTTTTCCGATCTTCCTCTACTTTCCCCATGTTTTTATCTGTCCCTTCAGCGGTGTGACGTCACTCCGATCTAGCGCTGACTGCTCTGTCTCTCTGATCCAGCGGTGTCTGCAGGCGGGTGCATGCATCCATAGACTTACCTTGCGTCTCTGCTCGTCTCCCGGCCGAGAATCGGAACTGCGCATGCGCCCTCCCCAAGGTCCTTTGCGGCCGTACGAGCAGTTCCTGATTCTCGGCGCGGGAGGGAGCAGCGATAACGAGGTAAGTTTAAAATGATTTTAAGCTGTTATTTTATTTTTTTTACACTTCTTGCCTATATCTACTGCATGATAGCAGTAGATATAAGCAAAAAAAAAAACCAGAGGGTTTAGAACCCCTTTAAAGTATTGAGTACAATATAGTCTTCTCAATGCTTAGAGAGCTGGAGTGAGGCACTGGCTCTATACACCCCGAGAGCTGAGTGATCATGTAAGCGATGATTGCTTAGCTGATGATCTCCCTGCAGAGAGCAATGACTGACAGTAAACCACTACATGCTGACATTGGGTCACAGGAGTACATTAGTAAATGTACACCTGTGACACAAAACAAAAAAGAGGTTTGGCCTTACTTCTTTTCTTCTCAAGTGTATGTATAGGCAAAACTTTTTTTTCTTAATTCTATAGTCAGGAAGGGTTAAAACCCTTATCAGATTATTTTTTTCCATCTGTGTCCTGCTAGGGAGATTTTTCTATACTTCTGCCTTGGAAATGATATAAAAAATCTCTCCCAAAAATATGAGGGAATTTCCCATCTTAGACAGTTGTCAAAACATTTGTCCCTACTGGAAGACTTATCGTCACCTCTTGCTCTGATGACACTATTTTGGATTTTCCCTCACTTCCTGTCTTGGCGACAATGGTCACGAGAATAAATAGGAGGGATGAAGTTTCCCCCAGTTGGGACACAGACTTCAATGAAAACTTGTCAAGGAGGAGGTGGTGGTGGCTGTAACCCTCCCCCACTATCTAAAGCATTAAAAAAAAAAAAAAAGTTTTGCCTTTGCATACAGTAAAGCTGGGAACACATGGAACCTGCTGAAATTCACTAAGTTGATCATTAGATCGACTTTTTGCTAGAGAACATGTTGGAAAATCTTCTGCTGAATGGTGCTTGCAGCCAGTTAACTCCGAGCACCAATCAGGTAGTCTGACAGCTGCTGCTGTCAGAATACAATGGAAACAGCAGGGAATTTGTCCATCCACACTGTTTCACGTGGACGGATGAATCTGTTATGTTTTCTTCACTCAACTTGCAGGTTGAACAAAGAAAATATAACAGTGTATACCCTACATGCTTCTTGTATGCACTGACTAGAGTTTACCTTTAACACACTGCCATTTAAAAAGGAATCTTTACAGCCATGTGTCCTGGAGGACAAAAATGCAGTGGGATGAGAGAGAATGCACAGACAACATGGCACAAAGTGGAGACAATATCACACGGAACATGCCCTCAGAGGAATGTGAGCACAGAGAACAGGTGGAACCTGTGACCTTTTAGTTATTGTGGTGCCCTCACAGAAAAAAAATGGCTTGCAATTCCTTTTGCTCAATTTCTATAATAGTTAAAAAAAAAAAAAAAAGCCTGGTAAGGACAGATGAGCCTCTGAATATTCTTATGTATTTCCAGAGCGACTTGATTAAGTCAAGCTCATTATGAATCATTACAAATCAAACACAAAAATAAAGTAAATATTTAAGGGGTTTATGCAGTAGATGACCTCAGAGGAACTCTGTAAAAGTAAAAATGCTACTGACAGAAAAATGATCCCCCCCCAAAAAAAATGTTTCCTGTGGCATTATTACAGCGCCACAGAGATCAGCATGTCATATTTAGGATTCTTGCCCTTGGCCAGGGCACCTGACCATTTCTACTTTTATAGTACGTGTTAGAGCGATCCCTCGGTGGGTTTAGAAAGCAGGTTAAAAGTACTTGTCTAACCCCAGGACTAGTGTCACTAAGACTATCGAGCCAGCGTAATGCCCTACACATACCCACTCTATGAAACTCTGCATACAATGCTTACATACTGCTATTTTTTTTCATTATATTTAATCAATTAGCATCTCCAAATACTCCCCCTGAAGATGTTTTTTCCTTTCGCTTCCTTTCTCTGGTTAGAAGCAGTGCACTTCTCTACTGACTTCACATACTGTACACCACTATGGTTCCCTTTTGTAATGCCCATGTGTCCCCAGTTACCATGTGTCCCCAGTTACAATTAGCAAAAAGAGCCTAAATTTGTCACTCAGAACCCCGTAGGTGGTGCTTTGTGGGCAGAGATAGTCCGAATTGTAGGTTTCCTGTGCTTCTACATTCTGGGTTCCTCAGCATGTTATACTATAGTCATTCTCAGGAGAAAGCAGAGGAAGGAACCATGCAGACCGAAGGCAGCCACCCTCATAGACATAGAATAGAAATGTTATAGGATGTGCTGACACATGATGCAATTTTAAAAGAACTATAAGGCGAGTGCTTTTCACTCATCCTCATAGTTCTAGCCGACCTGTGACAAGGAAACTGCCACAGGTCGGCTCAGTAGATAGTGAAGTGAGTGAACACATACCGGCGTTCCCTCACTTCTCGATCCTGTCACGGCTCACTGCCGTGGCAGGGGAGGGACTGGATTTCCCCCTCCAATCTTCCAGCGCTGACTGGCAGAACGGACGGGGAGGGGGCCGGTACAGCTGGCTCTGCCTCTAGATAGGCAGAGCCAGCTGTCACTCACGCAGCTGGGCGGATCCAGACATAATTGCTGGGATCTGCTTCAGCTGCGACGTCTCAGTATACCGCAAGCTACTGAGCTTGGGGTGACGGGAGGATGCTAGTTTGTGTCCTCCCGTTACCCTAAGGAGAACTATGGGGAAAATACCTAACCCCATAGTTCTCCTTTAAGGTCCAAAAGTGACTATAGATGGAGGGTATGGAATCAGTTGTTTTTTTTCTTTACAGTTATAAAATTATTTCTTTATTAAAATTTATGCTATCAGTTTTTTATTTATATCAAAAAAGAAAGTTTATATTGTTGGTTTGCGGTTACTTTCAATATTAAGGTTCTTACCTGAAAGTTGACATCTTCCTTCTTGAATATCAGCGCACGAACTTCATCCGGATCCCCATTAAAAATAGCTTGAACCAATGGAGGCTGGAAAAAAAAAAATACAAATGGTAACCAGAATTAATTGGCAGCAAGAACACAGAAAGTAATATCTGTATATTCTAAACTGACAAGTTTTGTTTCTGTTCACATTTACAGAACTTTAAAAAATATACTGGAAAACGGTCTGTAAATCATAATTCTCAAGCATTGACCTCATTCAATTGGATGCAATCATCACATCTAAACATTACTCTTGACGTGCACATTTTCAGAAGTCAGACTGACTGTTACAGAAAGCTTTCTAAATTTATGTTTTACAAATTTAGTGGGCTGGTACCATAAAACTCTAACGGAAGAAAAGGTGACAGACTATGAAGCACTCTGGTATATGTGGAAGAATTCATATATTTAGGACTGAGCCAGAAGAAAAAGTTCTGCTCTCAAGATACTGAAAAAAAACTTTCCCTATTCAGCTCAATGCATGGGGTGATGTCAATCAGCATGATGTAGTGTAAGAGATGGCCATAGACAGACAAAATTATCAAGGAATCAGGGTCAGGACTGCATATTTGCTTTTCTTCTGTTGTAAAGAAAAGGAAACGGAAAGAGAAAGAGAACCTTTTTTGGCTTTGGTTCTCCATTGGGTCACAGGAGGACATTTGCTAATGTCCTCGTGTGACCCACAACTCAGCATACAGCAGGCCATTGCCCACTATATGCCAACAGCGCAGAGCTGTGCGGCAGACAATATTGTTGGGATCCACCCTGCTACCTGACAGCTGACTTTGCCTCCCTAGAGGCAGAGCCAGCTGTGCCCACCCCTCCCCAGTCTGTTCCTCCAGTCAGCGCTGGAGGAACAGAGAAGGGGAGAGGGGAATCCCTGTGGGTGAAGATCGTGAACTGTGTTTGTAATCGCTTAGTTCTTGATCTATAGAGCCGACATGTGACAGCTGCATTGTCATACATTGGCTCTCACTATGGGTAGGAGTGCATTTCACTCTCACCATAGTTCTCCTTTAATTGCTTCTATTATTTGATCAACTCATTATATTAAAACTAACACCGGTTTATGTTATTTAACAGATCTTGCAAACCAAACACTTGTCTATTAATCGTGCTCTTAACCCCTTCGTGACGGGAGACGTACACTGTACGTCCAGCCACAAAGGTTGTTCCTTACTCTATTTTCCACCGTACAAGAGACCTATCAATAAAACTAATATTAATGATATTTCATACATATACTAGCAGCAATTTAAATCCCAAGTAAGCAAAACCATTTCTACACTGCACCCCCTGACACACCCTGCATTGCTGCACAGACCATGAACCTTGACAAAATAATGAATGGAAGTACATAAGTCAATACTAAGCATGGGAAACCTTCTCAAGTCTCCGGTGAATAGTGACCATTGATATCTGATAACATTCTGAGGTTAGTCAACAGCTTCTCAATGGCTGTAAGAGCCAATATGGCATCACACAAGTTACTGCTGTGAATGAAAGCTGTGCGTTCCACAGCAATAATAGTGTCACTTTAACAATTCCAACAAGCTGACAGAAGAACAAACAAGCAATTTCAGTAACGTTTAAACTTGATCTTCCTAATCAAATTGCAAGCTATTCAAATGCTAAATTTCCCTATGAGCACTGTGCAAAGCATCATGTAACATGTCAGCACTAAACAAATAAAGGAAATAAAAAAAACTGTTGCTATGTTCATTGCTGCAGCTTATACTCATACTTTGCAGCGTGTGCAAGTCAGGAGTTTCTGCACTGCTGTCAATCCAAAACTGGGAGCTTGCTGACAGGAGCAGAGAAGAATGATCTCATCAAGGTGGCAATGCTTCTCTAGAGCCCATTCCCACTATTTTGTTCATGTGTGGCAATACCCATTATATGCATCAGTGTGATGTAGTGCCATTCATCATGAATGGCACCCCAATGCACCTTACTGGTGGACGAGTGGTGCACTGCCAGAAATGTTCTACGCATGGTTTGTGGTCTGGTAGACAGCCCTTTAGCAGAGGTGTGTGGACCACAAGCTTTGCCGAATTACAAATCAACTCAAAAGCATTCACATATTTACTTGTGAAATTAGGTGTTTGCCTGATATTATGCCCTAATATTCAAGAGAATACTTCTATGAAATAGGAATTTTATAGAACTTTAAAAACATAAAGGAGATCTACAGGTCAGGTGTCACCTTTAGTTGCTTGCCTGTGAACTGCCTGACCACATACAACCTCCCGTATTCTGAGGCCCCGTTCACACTGAGAGGTTTATCGCGCGATATCCGACGCAAAATTGCGCATATTTCTGTGCGATATCGCTCTATGTAGCTTGTCCAATGCATTCCAATGGAGCTGTTCACATCTCGCAGCTCAATGTCGCCTGTAGCTCTTCACTGAAGCTTGTAGTTTGACCCTTTTTTCGGCAGATGTCGCGCGATTCAGCACCCAATAGACTCAAATGGTGTTGCGCAAAATCAGGCATTACCGGCGATATTGCGCGACAGAAGGTTCACTTTTGCACTGGAAATGGAAGGAAAGAATGAGGTCGCATCAAGATCGCTGTTGATTGGTTACAGCCCAATGTAGCAGCGACAAAGTCCCGCCCATAAAAACGATAAAATGTGCACTGCCGCTCAATATCGTGCAATGTAGCTCAAAGCCGATCAGCGCGGAAAAATGCGCAATATCCATGACGATCAGCATGAATAGGTTTCCGAGAGGGAAACCTGTGAGGTTAGGCACTGGACAGGCAGCAACAGTCAATTCATATAAACTCTGACCGACCCTCAATAATCCACCAAAACAGACAGACTGAGACAGTAACAAATGCTAAAAACAAGGGGAATATTCATTCATAAGTATGTATCTGAAAATCAGATTCCCCTAAGAGTCCAACAGTTTCTTGTTCTCCAACTTTCCCAGAGCAACTTAGAAAAAAAGAAAAATTGTAAAACATGACTGGTTTCTATTGTCAAAAATACTTTTTTCCTCTTGTGGAGTCCACATAAGCCAGTCTAACTGAAACACTACAGCAAGTTTAAGAAGCATACGAACAAGGGCTTATTTTGTGGTTTGCCATGAAACTTGTGGGCCTCGAGGAAAAATTCTTTCCACGCTAAATTGTGTGATTCAACATAGAAGAAAAAAAGAATTTCAGAGATTTTTTTTTCCCTCTATACATCAGCAAGCCAACTCCTAAATGTCTACAGTGGGGATAAAGAGAAACGCACCAGAAGGAAATCAGCAAACCATAGGAATATTTATATATATATACATATACACATATATACATATATACATATATACATATATACACACATACATACATTTCTACTAACAGATTTGTTTTATGCCCTACAATGGTAGCTCGGCTTGCTTGTTGATATTAAGAAACAAATATAACATAGAAATCTTACCGTCACAGCTGCAGGAGGTGCAGGACAATATGGATTTCCGCGGGATAGTTTTGAAACAAAGTCAGGGGATTCATCATCCCCCTCCTCCAAAACAACAATGCACACTCGGCTCATTCGATCTAACTTTGAGCCAAAGCTCTACTTAGCGTACTACTAAAACTATAAAAGGATGGCGCCAGGCCCAATCACATCTCTACTACCCATTAGCTAGTAAGGTTTTTATGTAGCAGGAAGAAAAAATATGCCCTCTACAATACACAATACAGAGAAAAAAAAAAAGATGAAAAATATATACAAATACTCAAAGTTAAAAAAAAAAAAAAATGCAATCCATTTAGTTTCACTTTTCTTCTCCCGGAAGAGCTAATCATCTACCAAAGCACTTTAATGAACAGTCATAAAATTGTTAATTATTTAGCAGGACAGGGTGATAACCATTACACTCTGCAAGGTCAAGTGCTAAAATACACCAGTCAGCTGTTTGCTGCCTCTGAACACTTGTATCCTGCTGAACGGATGCTGCATTTCTCACGTTAACTGAATCTGAAAATGGATTTCAGTCATTGTATAGCTTTCAAGTGCTCTAATCCAGGACTGAGCTCCCCACGTGAAGCATCAAAAATCCAGCAAGGTCCACAGAAGTGGTAACAATGAAAGCCCAAATGGAGTGATGGACTGCAGCTCATTCACATGTGATGAGTCAGACCACCAGGGATAAGGGTACTCCCAGGGAAATGCAGCCGGCTAAATCCTTGACGTCCCACATGACAGAAGAACGGAGGGTGTTTACTTCAATATGACCAAAGCAATAAACGGAGATACATTTCACTCCAGACACAAGTAGCACATAAACCTCCAGCTGAGAAAAGCAAAGCAAGGAGAACTACTGGGAATGCAAGGTGCTTGCAGCCACTAGGAGTTAGGTCTTTTCTTAAACTCGCATCTCCATTAAACACAGCATCCTTTGTAATCCACAGCACAAGCAGGCTCTGGAGGTCCTTTTACATGCAAACGTCTCAATTCTTGCTCTGCCAGGCTCAATGTTCCCGTAAGCATCGCACACTATTTAATCAGCTTCCTTTCATGATTTCAGAACAAATCCTTTTTAGAAGTGATGTTTTTCAGAGATGCAGAGCCCCAGGCTGGGAGGCTGTTTGTAATAGAGCAGAGACCAAATTCACTCCCCCAGCAGCAGTAGCATTCCATCCCAGCTGTTGTGGAAAGAAGCAAACACAGGCACCGCAGAGCTGCAGAATGAAATGCCTGGTAATGCTCACATGTTAACAAGAGAGACTTCAGCCACTGCACCCGGTGAGCCAGTAACTTCCTGTGATGGGGAGGGGCAACGGTCCTCATTCTGCAGTCGTCACCAACAACATTGGTGGTTTAGTGACTAATCTGCCTTTTCGGAGGAGGGGGCACAGCTCAAACTGAAGTTTCCACATGGAAAATCGTGCATCTGCTCAGCCTGACGAAGGCGGCTTTTACGGCCACATATGAAAGCAGTTATGTGAGCAAGCCATGCCACTAAACCATATTAAAAAAAAAGTTTGAGTGTATTTTTTTTCAAATACAAATTATTTTTCTGGGAACATAAAAATATGGACATCATACC